TTTTTAACCCCCTTCAATTTTCTTTTATAAAATAATGAAAAGGGAGTTAAAAAAGTAGGAAAATAAAAGAGTTAACAATTAATGTGTTGATTGTATATTAAAAATAAATAAAAAAAAAAAAAAAAGATAAATAGGATAGAAGTATTCTCATTGAATAACATTTTGATTGTTGTTTTAATATGTATATATATAGGGTTGGGTTATGGGTTATGGGTTATGGGTGAGAAGAAAGGTTAATAAAGCATTGAATGCACATTAAATTAAAAGGCAGCAGATGAATTCCTAGGGATGGATTTGAAATGAATGATTTAGATTCATTTTGACACCATCCTTCCATAATCATCAATTTGATTTTGAATGATATACAAATGTTTCATTAATAAAATATTTGAATGAAGACTGCAGTGCAGCATGAGCATGTGGTCGTGGCCCAATCCATAAGCCCAATACCCATCTAATAAAACCAAACCCAATACACAATTTGAGTTTGAACTATATTTTCTTTTTAACTTCCTTTAAAAATGTATCTATCTCTTATCTAATCTAATCACTTTATATGTATATCTTGACTAATAAATATATACTTCATGTGTTGGGTGACTTTTTTTTATCAATATATTTTATATTAAAACAAAATTATCAAATGTTTTTTATTTATTTTTCCAAATACATAAAACATAGCAACTATATATTTTTTTTTGTCGAGAACGCAAGTGCAATAATTTCATACTAGTTTTACTTTTTCACCGGAACAAAAACATAAGAAAAAATTGATTTTTATTTTATTTTATATTAAGAGTTTAGAATTAGAAAGCGTTGTTTATTTACTTATGAAGTTGTAAAAAGAGTGGGTTAAGATATTGATGAAGTCATGGAAAATTGATTAATAAGTAGTTTAGATTAAGGGTTAAGGTGAGTACCAAAATGAAAAACAACATTTATTTAATAAATTATGCTTCATTCATATTAATCGCGTTGCTTAACAAAACAAGTAATTAAGTACAAAGTATATGATGTATTAATAACTTACATAAATTCCATCACTCTTTCGTTGGTTGTTTTTTAAAATTTGGAAAGAAATTAAAGGAATTCTTTTTATTTGTCAAGGAAATGAAACATAATAATTATTTATATATCTTTTATTTATTTCACAACATATTGTAATGATGGGTAGTAAATCATCATGTCATTTTATAGGTACTTATAATTTTCCCCTCCTTTTTTTTAGAAATTTTTTGATAGAAAGATCAACATTATTTCTCTCCTAAAAAAACTAGATATTTCTTTTTTCTTCATTTTGTTATTTTTTCTTTGTAAAAATGGACTTGGAGAACACAATACTTAGGGATTATATTTGTGAATATGAAGTAGAGGGCAAATTGGTAAATTGACAACAAAAGATAGATGTAATGTAAGTAAGGAAGGAGGGAGGTGGTGTATATATATATATATATAAAATCACATTGGTGATGATATATACCTCCGGGCTCCAAGAAGCAAGCGAAGTGATAGTGGGGTAAATTCGTCTTCTCTGGTTGAGAAGCTTATTTTTGTGGGGAATGTTGTTGGGCTCGATGCCTACACCATCTGTGGGAGTGGGATGTCGTCGGACCAGGCTTCATTCCCCTCAATTTTTGCTTCCATATATCTGCTGCCACTGGGGTTTGATTGAATTGGGTATTTTTGTTTTCAGATCTATGTTTCATCATCATGAAAGATGAATTAGTTTGTTATATCAGTAGCTACGACTAGGAGATTGGGGTAATGATGATGGCTCTTCTTCACTGCTATTTCTTTTTGGTTTTTGTCTTATCTGACAAACTTTGCATCATTGCCATTGCCATGCCATCTTTCTCTATAATCATTCATTCAACTTTGTGCTTCAATTATCTTCTTCTGGTTTTTGTAAGCAATCTAACCTACCCATCTTTCTTTAATTTACTCTCTCTCTCTCTCTCTCTCTCTCTCTCTCTATATATATATATATATATATATACAGACACACACATAGATACATAGATACATACATAGGTCATTAGTCTATAATGCAAGACATAAATTTATCCTCTCTTTATTTGGTTTTATGTTTGGTTACATGTTACAAAGATATGAGGCATGTTTGGAAGTGGTGATGCCAAAAATCTAAGTAAGTAACAAGAAGAAGATGATGATGAATAGTTAAAAAAATGGAATGGAATGGGTTAATAGAAAGCAAAAGTGGTATATTTCTGCAACAATCTTTTAGGCATCTTTCTTGAATTTCTTTTTTCATGTTAACGCAATCTACCCTTTTAGATTTTTGGCATCACCATTCTATTATTTATTTATTTATTTATTATTACTCCTTTCTCCTTAAAATCAACTCTTCATGTATCATTAATTATTTATTTATAATGTCCTCAAACTAAGAAACTATATTAATATCACATGTGATATTATATTAGAAAATTGGCTTTGTTTCGTACACACATTTTTCATTTCATCATATGTGATTAAATATAGACGTGTAGTGTTTTATTAGTTGAACTTGGTTGTTGTTTGTGAAGAATAAAAAAGGCAATCAAGTGGTGATGGAAAGTATAGGGGTTGAAGATGGAAGTGAAATGGTGAGAGTGTAAGAGTAGTACTTGAACAACATTAAATCTGCAAAATTCATACCCAACCTTTCCCTTCCCTTGTACTTTTTCTATTAAAATAACTCCTCCTTCTCCTTGGCCTTGGCCTTGGCCTTGGGAACAAAATACATACATAAAAATGTAAGCATGGATGGATGTTGACAAAACATATACATATATATATATATATATATATATGTTGTTAGTAATAATGAGTGTAGGCAAATGAAAGGTGCAAGTGGAAAGAGGTGAAGTTAAGTTTCAGAGATGGAGAAGTTACCCAATTCATGTCTCTCCATTTTCAATCAACATCCAACACTCCTTCCTTCTTAAATAACATTTTATATTATCACTTGTATCCAATTAATTCTTTATCTTTCCTTTTTTCTTCAAATTACATTTTATATTATCCAATTTCTTCTTCAATTATACATCTTAAATTTAAACATTTTTCATCTTCAACTTATCCTCACTAGCTTTTTTTTCTTTCTTCCTATGAATTGTGTTCTATTACACGATCGAGTGCCTTGTTTGTGAAAACGTACGTACATGTTGATTTTAATTTTGAGTTCAGAAAGTAAATTAAATATTGTACATGAGGATGGTGATTTTTTGTTCGAGATCAAGCTTGCCTCGTCTCGTTGGCTTTCTCATTATGTCAAAGATTTTGCCTTTATTATTTTATTTTTTTCTAGACCTGTTGGTGTGTTTCTTCTTTTTGATTTCGGTTGTTTTGTTTTTATTGATGGTTGGCTTTGGCTTTAAATAAATAAATAAGATTTTTATAACTTGGTTACTTTTACTCAATTACATCAAAAATTAATAAATGATATGACGACCGCTAACTATCACGGATTTAATTTGTAGGAAGCCTAATTACACCGACCATATGGATAGGGCATAGGCAAATCAAAAGTCGACGGGTCCGGTAATTAGGGTTGCTCATTGCATGCCGGACTTAACCCAACAATTTTTGCTACGACTATATAACTATATATGCCATACCATATCATATCATATGTTACAAAAATAATAAACAAAAATTAATATCTTCTTGTGAATTTATAAAATCCAAATTCCAGTTTTCTCACAAGCTAGTAGGCTTGCTGTATAGATAAATTAATTTTAAAAATATGGTATTTTATTTAATAACATAATTAGCCATGCATGTTTTAAGGACGTCGGAGATTATCAAGCCAAATAATTAATTAATTAAATGATGCTAAATATGCGTTTATTGTATTATTTTGAGTTCCTTGTAATGAATTGTTAATCATATAATATATATATATATATATATATATATATATTAATAATAACACCAAAATGAAAATTGAATGACATATCGAGAATGAAGGAGATGTCGTTGTAAATTCGCATGTGTAGATAGTTACGGAAACAACCTCAATTCCCCACCTTTCTTCCCAAAAATTATGTGATTGCATGCAACATTCATCCACAGCCGTCGTCCTCCACCCACCACCACCACCACCACCGCCATCCTCTCCATCATTGCCCTAGTCTCGTATGAGAAAACTACTCTCGGCCTTCCCTCCTAATGGCCGAGATTACTTTCTACCAAATTTGCATGCATCCTCCTCCCAAATAAACGACACCTCTCCAATTCCAGTCGTCGACACTGCTTTCGATTTCGCCACCATCCCCGTCATCGGCGCCCTTCTCCTCCTCTCCCTCATCTCTCTCTCCTTCATCTTCCACCTCCGCCTTAGATCTCGCGGCGCATGCCACCTCCGGGAATTCAACAATCTCTGGACTGTCCGCCTGCTCCTCGTTTTCTTCATCTCTCATTGGGCCATCAACGAAATCATCCGCCTTCCCCTCTTCCGTAGCCGTTATCTTTTCCCATCCTTGCCATCCCTAACATTGTCGCAACAGGACGACCTATGCAAACTCCACGTCGTATTTTCTCTAGGGTTTATGGAACCTGGTTTCCTCATCACCCTCTTTTTCCTAATTAGCGAGTCCGTCAAGAAACAAAACCCGTCACAGATAGGGGCAGTTTTACGGGTGTTGTTCATGAGTTTACCCACATTGATTCTGCAAACAGTCGTCGTCTTCTTTAATCCGTTAAAGGCGCAATTGCCTTGGATGATGATTCGAAGTTCCTTCCTGTCGGTGGATGAAAGTGGGAACAAGAGCATGAGGTGCACCTATCCGTTGTTGAGCAGCATTGTTTTTGGAGCATTTGGGGTTGTGTACTCGGTGGGTTTATTAATATGTTGTTGGCGGGTGGTGTCGTTGGTGATCAATAAGAAGATGAAATTACGAATTGAGGTGTTGGGATGGACGGTGATGATGTCAGTACTGGTGGAGTCATTGTTGCTGGGGGTGGTGGGTATTTGGAAACCGGAAAGCATATGGTACGGTGGGGTGTTGTTGGGGATGTTTGTGAGTGTGGCAATATGTGGCGGTGTAGCAGAGATTGTGTTGGTGATAAAGCCCATAGTGGAGGCGCTTGTGGCTGCCGGAGACTACTGCCAGTGGAATCCTGTTGTTCGCTACATGCAGCCGGTGGAGGACCGAGGGAATATATAGCGAACGAGCATCAGGGTGGGTGCAATGCATGCATGCATGAATGCAAATTATATAATATACGTATAATTTGCATCTTGTGGTTGGATCATAAGCTTAGCTGCTGGGGGTTTTCAAGTGTGAATTGGGTGGGTGGGTGGGTGGGTGGCCGGCGGCTGTTGATCGTTGGAAAGAAGTAATTAAGGTCCAAGGAGGTAGCTAGCAATAAGCAAGTGTTAATTGTGTGTTATTCCTCTATGAAAAATGAAAGCGACGATCCAAGTGTTGTGTATATGTATATAGCGGTTGTCTCCGTGAAGTAGCAACAATTAGGCAGCATGCAGGTGGGAGAGAATTGTATAGCATGAAGTCGTTCGTTGGTGTGAATTTAATTAGATTGGCAAATGGCAACGGATACAGTTCTCTCCCCTCCCCTCCCCTCTTCTCTTTGTTTAATTACATTTATTAATTATATCCGTTAATGCTCCAACTGCATGCATGTGCTTCAGAATTTGGGTTTCTACATCAAAATATACCTAAGAACCCATTTCATCGATGCTAATTAATTAACCTACTGGAAATTGCATAAAATATGATAAAACTAGGCTCAATGCTAATAGGCCCATATTTCTCATCGAATTTGCCTTGTTTTTTCACGAGTCATCATATCCTATCACTGTATGTATATATATATATATATATATATATATATATATATATATATATTGGATTGAAGACATTAATTTGAACAACCAAACTCAATTAATGTCTACGGTTTGAAAAATCTCAACGTGACCCAACTCAATCAAAATTACAACCCAAACAAAACTGTCCGCATTGGGTTGGGTCTGTTTGGTTGAATCGTTGGCACATCGATCATTTTATAAACGTTTTGCTTAAACGAAAGAAAATCAAAATGAGAAAATACAAAAAGGCAAAGAGAAGTTGAAATTTCATGCAAATAAGAAAGTATAATTATAGTTGAAATTGTAATATAATTTTGAATATAGCTAATTACGAGTTTGTCTAATGTTTAATGTACATATATTAACCAAGAACTTGACAATCATATGAAATCCGTAGTATAGAAAAGTTATAGGGTTAATTAATTCCAACCCAATAGATGCGATTTGGTTTAATCTTGTATCAACTATACGTCGGATACATATAGCGAAGGCTTCTTTAAGTTTTTCAGAACCATAAGATAAGATGAGATGATGCCTTAAATAATAACAAATGGAGCTCGTATGAATTAAGTAAGTAAATAGTTGTCGAGGAAAAATCATTTTAACAAAGAAAATGTGAATGAGTCTAAGCAAGTTACTCAAACACGTCATTTTTGTTGGAGAAAAGTTACATTTTTGGTCCTTAGAGTTTACATAATTATAACATCTTAAGTCTCTTTTTTAAACAATTATGCTTTTGGTCCATTGTTTTAACTCTGTTTAAATTTGTGTATTAAAGAGGTTATTTGGGGAAGCATTTTTCTTGTTTCAATTAAATAAGTTTTGAAGACCAACCAAATGTTGTGATGGGTGCCCCTTCTCTCTTTTTCCCCTCTTCCACAATCATATATATATATATATATATATATATATAACATTAAGAATACAATTAATGAACCAAAAGTTGTTGTAAAACGTCTACCATCCGATCCGTGATTATTAATTTAGAAAAGAAAGGGAACAAGAATGTAACTTAACTTACTAGGTTTTCTATTTAAAGTGTAAGGAAAACTTCAAATACGATGATAATTTGTCATATATATGTATCGGTTAACAAAAAAAATTCAATGCATAGTTTTTTCTTTAACTTTTTTATAATATTTAATCTTTTTATTTATTAAAGCAAGGGTGTTATAATTTCTAAAGAGATAAGTAGATGTTGTGGGGGTTTTTATGTTTATTGATTTCATTCCATTTCCTTTTCCTTTTCCTTTTCCTTTTTAATCAAACAAACCATTCACATACTAATACTTTTATACTTATGTATCTACGTATTGTTTTACTCATCTCAAAATTCATGAAATTGTAATAATCTTCATAATTTATGTCTCATGCTTTATTTTATATGATTTTTTTTCTATATACGTCTAATATTTAATATATTGGTTAACATTACATAATGTTTGTGTAACATCCCCAATATTTCAAATACTTAAATATATCAAAACTAGTATCCCAGAATCAAACACTTACATTGCAACAGAAATAAAATTTTTAATCTTACAAATTATATCACCATCTAAATTACAATCTTGAGGAGCATAACTTTGTTTTATATAATAATGTCTTGATCTGCACATAACCTTCTTTGGAGTTAATCCTTATCTCTCTTTATTGCATTTTTCTTTCCACTCAAATAGCCGTCTGGGTGAAAAAGTTTTAAAAGAGTTTTAGGTGAGTCTTAGACCAAGTAAATCCACGGTTTTCATGCACGAGGAACAACTTTTACAATAAATGATTTTCACGAATCATTATAAATTTAGCATGCCTTGATGAGAATAATACTTTTCACAAAATAAAGATATTATAGTGCGTGTCTACATCACAAAGCAAAGGCGTCATGCGAGATGTCTACCTCACACAGCATTACTTGACGAACTCACACAACATGTCCGCACTTATGGCTTAGACAAGCTCACAAAGCATGCTCGTCTTTACAAATTCATATTGTAGTACATCCCCATTGACACACAAATACTCAAAACACATAAAAATATCGAACTTTTCACGCATATATAGCATATCAAAAATCTCGAGAAACTCCAAACAACTTGTAGATAATAAGGCATGCAACCATTTTAAAAATAAATCACGTGTAACTCACAATACATGTCGTACCCCAAACCGATCTTTGAAGTGGCTAACGTCTCCGCGATTGGTGTCAAACTAGCTACGATGTAGAGCACCGTCAACTCTCATTACAGCGTCCACCGTCGTCTTTTCTCATAATAGTTCTCCTTCTTGACTCCAAGCTACACATAAAGCTACGAACTCCCATTTTATACTAAGCCCCATCGGCGGCTTCACAGAATATGAAACGATAGGCCATAATTAATGGTCGTAGGTTTCATGACCATTAAGTTTCCTATCATTAAATTATATCCAATTTCTTTCCTCTTTTTTTTTGGTTATTACAGTTTGATTCACACGTACTCGGTTCATAACGTGAAACTTTATGGAGTGTTTGTGAAATACAAAATATACATTGTGAACCGAGTACATGTGAATCTTACGTATTCTGAAACAAATATATATTAATCAATATTCAAAAATCTAGTCTTAAATGAAAAAAAAATCATATAAAAATAACACATGATGCACAAATTCTCAAGATTATCATAATTTCATGTATTCTCAAAAGAAAATTCCCCTCCTTTTATAAACATTAGTTACCTTATAAGTCAACTTATTTTTTACTACATTTTTAGATGAAAATAAACTAACTTATTGAAACATTAACTGTAGTAGCATTTAGAAGCTTTTTGATACTTTTTTCAATTACTATAAATGTATCCGTGTAATACAGCAAGATACATCTCGAATTTACTGTTTCGTTTTATTATTCGACTCTGCCGATTTTATAATATGGCTTTGCATTATTGTGAAAAAATAATGTTTTTATATTGGGAAAAGTCTAAAAAACCAACAAAGTGTCTGATTTTGAGTAATTAAATTGTTAAACTATTTTTTGAATGATAAAACTTTTAAAGTTTTTAAAATTGGTTAAAATACATCCTTGTAACTTGTAAAAATGTGTTAATATGATAAAATTTTGGGGAAAATCTAAAAGAGCCCAACACACTGTCCGATTTTGAATGAATCAAGTCTCGGGTTTTTTTTTTTTAAAATCCCTAAAGTTTTTCCTAAATCTTTTTACCAAATAGATTGTTGAACTTTTTTAGAGCAAATTATTTTTGAAGAAACAAAATCATAAACTTAATTTTGAACAAAAACATGAACGAACAAAATATATGCAATCCTCTCATCGACAACAAAGTTCCATGAACCAATTAATCGGAGAAAAATTATACCATTTGCATTAGTAATTACAAAACATACAAAAGTTATGTTTAAAACATAAATTAAGTTCATTAATTTAATTTTGTCACATATAAGTGTTTTTGTATGTATCTATTTATGGGTTAAAAACAATTTTTGTATGTTTCAGAATTAGTTATGAAAATGATATAATTTTTCTTTGTTTAATTGGTTCAGAGTAATTGTATATATTTTTTTGTTCCCAAAAAGTTACGGATTTATTTGTTCAAAATAAGTTCATGATTTTGTTTTTCGAAAAATGTTTGGGATTTATTTATTCCAAAAAAAGTTCAAGAATTTATTTGGTAAAAGAAATCAGGAAAAAAAAAGTAAAGATTTATAGGGACTTAATTATTTAAAATCACATGTTTGTTTGATTTTTTCTAAATTTTTATCACATTAACTTGTTTTTACATGTTACAATGATGTATTTAACATGTTTTATAAAGTTTATGGATTTTACCATTCAAAAATATAGTTTAAGGACCTAAACAATCAAAATCAGATAATTTGTTTTGTTTTTTAGACTTTTTTCTTTTATAAATAAATAAATATAAATTTGAAGAGCACATAAAAGTTTCAAAAAAAAATGTAATATTAGTACCAAATTAACAATTTAAAAGTTCTATTTGTGTACATTTTTAGTTCAACTTTTTGTTATAATTTAATTTATGTTTGATAACAAAGTAATTTATTATATTTAATAATTTAGGGTATTCTTCTTTTGTTAACCAAACAATTAGTATGAACTTTGTTAACCGAGACATTTTTTGTCTTTTTATATATTGATATACCACGTTCTTAGAATATCTTATTCACTTAATTATTACATTTTTTTTAATTATCATATTTCTAAAATATATGGTTTATTCACTTAATTATCATATTCATTAAATATTACTTAAAGTTTCTTCATTTATTGTTTCACCTATAAACTTATTTAATTATTTTATTCATTTTCTAGTTTCATATATGAACTTT